GGAGTAGGTCATATTTATAACAAGGGTGTTATATGGGGCAAAGTGAGTGGATGGAAGATATCAAAACTACAGAAGAGAAGACTGGGGAGCAGGTGCTTAGGGGAGAGGGGACAAGTAGAGGTGGATCCACTGAGGTGGATCAGGTATCTACTAGCTTACTAGCTGATACTACGCAGCCACTCCCTGCCATTCTGGCCCCTTTATCTATTAAGCAACTTGCTCAGGATTCAATGGATGAATGTTTTCCTTTCTTAGAACCTGGGCAGCCTCCCTCCATGACTATTCCTGTACCCAGCAGGACAATGCACTATGTACCTCTGTGGACTGCAAACAAAGAGGCCCACATCAATAGCGATCACACCCCTAGACTTAGTGTGGGCAGAGAGCAAGAAGCAGTCATTGGCAACTGTTGGAACTGCCAGAAACTAAAGGGAAGACCTGGAGACAGGGAAAGGTTGGGGTTCAGTGGGAAGGTTGGGTAGGATGTCAACAAAGGACAAGTAAAATTATCCATAGAGTTGTGGATGAAACAGGACCATTGTCGTTCATAGTACATTAACCTGTAAGATTGTGATTTCTCTTCAGCAGCAGCAAATTCCTTTAGGATCTGAGCAAAGGTGGTCAATGGTCCACCTGTGCTCTGTGAGCTGTGGCCAGGAAGGGCTGGTGGATTGGAAGGAAATGGAAGGCTAGAGACGGCTCAGAGGATGAAGAGTGGGAGTTACTTGGGGAGTAGGCATCAACTCAGGAAGGACGGGCAGTGCTCAGAAGATACTCTATCTGTTGGGGGATTTGGGCTAAACTGTGTCTTCTAATGGCATGAGATAATAAGGACATTTTCTCTTGGCATAGCTGCAAGTACCTGCTAAGGAGGTTGTCATGCTGGCAAGAAGACATTTGGTAAGGATCATTTATTTGCATTTCTATTCTTGGCATTGCTGTCCTCTTCTTGCTGAAAGCAAGGTGGCTGTACCAGTTCCAGGAACTAATTCAAAAAACCAAAGAGATCATTTTTTGATGACTTGCTTTTTTGCAACAAAGACACTTCTCTTAGTGAGCAAATACTCTCGTGTTCCAGGGTCAGTGATGGGGCAAGACTAAACCTTGGTCCTGTCCTAAGACCCTCAGACTTCAGCCCAACCTGGAAGTGGAGTGGAGGTCTGCCTTTCCTGGGCAGTTACTGATGTGACAGATGTGGCACCTACCCAGGACACTTGTCATTATGTTAGAGAGTTAGAGTCCCCTGTGGAATACTGGAACTTGAGATATTTGAAGTGAATTCAAAACATAAACAAGATCCAGGCAGTAGACTTGGTGGGCAGTTGAAGTGGAAATGGATGGAGGTAACTAAAACTATGAAGATCCAGGAATCATATGCTGAAATTTCTGAATGCATTGTCCACATGGATCTCAAATTGACCATGTATTATGGCAAGAGGTGGGGTGAAGAGGGGTTCCTACAAGCCACGCTGTCATGTCCTCAGTAAATGATGGGGTGATGTATGACAGGACAGGCAGGAAAGTGGGTGAGTAGTCCTCATCCCCAAACCCAATCCATTATGAGATCCTTGATAGTTAGCTAATTTTGTCCTCACTGCACTGGCCTGGATGCTCATTTCTGGATGGCCTGGCAGTAGCTTCTCTATCCACTCTACCTCACCTTTATTCCTTCTGCTTCCCTGATTTTCACACATTATAATCACTAGGGAGGCTCCTAAATCCTGGATGCTGAAGCCACATGGTGAGTAAACGAATGGAAAAAACCTATCAAGGGTTACAGGTTATTGACACTTTGTAGAACTCCTCAGATTTTTCTGATCTGCCTCTCCACATGGTCACAATTATGCCCTCAAAAGTAACAGTTAGACTTCCCTCCTCTGTGCTCAGTGGGACAAATGTGCTAAACTCCTACCATTCCAGTCACTGGAATAAAAGATGAAAAGCATGTGCCTCTCCTCTGCCCCCATCCACCTGGGAAAAAACAGACTTTGAAGATGTGGACTGACAGACACTTTGAAGATGTAGACTGACTGGTACAGCATAGGGAGGTGCCACGTGTCCAGTGTGAGCCCTCATCTGGCTTGGATAGACCTTCCTATCTGCAGCGTCTTCATCCACATTTCACTTCTGTCTCCTGGGCCACCCAAGCCTATGTCCTGGCCCTCTTGGGGATTTTGAACTGTTACACCTCAGAAATCTCAAACATTAAAATCTGCCAAAACACATTGTCTCCAAGGTAAAATCTAGATTAATGCTGAAATGTCAGGCCTCATCCCCTTGGGACCACACAGTCTACCCCCACAGTTAACTTAGAGCCTCTTAACGCCATCACATGCTTCATGGTCTGGACTTATGAACATTCTTTCCTCCATACCTGGAAGATGTTTCCAGGACAAGCCTGGAGGCTCACATGTGATGACGAGGGGTGAAAAGTACAGGACTCCCTGATCCAGTCTATCTGCAACTCAAGTGGATCCAGGATCATGGTCTCCATTAGCCTCAGAGTCCCTAACACGAATACCTCCCCACGATCCTTGTCCCAAAGCTTCGAGATGGGATGGAGCAGACTGGGAGTCTCCACTTCCAACAAGCTCCCAGGTGAGGCACTTGCTGCTTCTGGGTTACACATGTGGTCACAGTGAGGAACTGCAAGAGGGAGACTGCAGGAAGGTGGAATTGTATGGGAAATGGAGACATCCATGTAGGACCCGCAGGAAGGGTGTGGATTTCTTTTATTAATTCTTTCAACGATTACTGATATATTGTGTGCCTGTTATGTTCTTGACTCACGAAATACCAAGAATGACATTCTGGTTCCTGATCTCAATAGGCTGGGTTTTCAGACCCATGGTTGAAGCAGAGAAGGAAACCAGCAATCACAACATGCTGCAGTGAACTAGAGAGCAGGTCTTTCCATAGCCAGCACTGGTGTCCCACATGGACCTATGGGCCACCGATGCAGGCCTGGCAGTGGACTGAGAATCCACAGCTGTGCAGACAGCAAGCTGGTGCAGATAATGGTGAGACTATGTTAAAAGATCTGGGGAGCAGAGCTGGCCCCCATTTTACTCCAGGCTCCAGCCCCAGCACTCAGCAGCATCTCTGTACTAAGGCACTGGTAGGGCCCTCCCTGGTAGCACAGCAGGTTGAAGCACTGCACTGTGAAGCAAAGCCAAGCTGTGGCCTCTTCAGTGAGAGTTTGATCACCGGTCCCAGAGGTGACCCACATGGTGTGGCAATCTCTCCTGTCTTGCCCGCTGCTCCCCTCAGCAGTGTACTTTTGTCGATCTGCCTGTTCTGCTTCCCACTCTGTTTCTGGTAAATCCTCTTGCTGCCCCTACACCTCTGGTCTGTACTCCATTTCTGTGTGCATAAATAAAATAAAATCTTAAAAAAAATACTAAGGCACTACTAGTTAGGCTCTTGGTATCCTCACATGAAAAACAGACACACTCAGCAGCTGATCCAGCTCAGACTTGGAGATAATCCAGCGGCCTCACTTGATCAACTCTTCTCATCCTCACCCTGCAGCTCAATTTCTTCAACTTCATGTTCATTATGTACTTTTGGAAAACAAAACAAAATAACATTACCTAGCTCAGTGCTTCATATCTAGAAATGTTCCACAACTAGCAGGGTTATAATTCCCAGGTGTTGGTGGAAAAGAGAAATCTGGCAAATTTGGTTCTTTGTTCAGTTCCATTTCTCAGTGTCAGAGACAGGTCTTAGACTTCCTTGAGTCCAGTGTGCTCATTTATACAGCAGGGTTAATAGCACTGACTTTGGAATACTAGTGTGAGGTTATGCTCGTCATTGGTAAATGTCACAGGAGTAGATGATGGAGTCAAGGTCCTGACTCAGGTCTCTTGGTGGGTGCTGTGTGCTTATTCCATGTCGTTGGTTTGTTGCACAAATAGGGTCCAGATGCTCACTCTGTGCAAGGTGCTGAGACTCTGTAGTCAGCTAGATGTTTATTCCAGGGGTCACCCTTTTCTGAAAACAAGCATCTCATTTTGTTGCACTTGAACTTCATTTGCAACAGTGCAGGAAAACATACAAAACTAAAAAGAAAAAAAAATCATTTTCCCTTGGTTCAAAAGGTAGATTCCCCTTTTCCTTTCTTCAGATCATTTACTCTAGAAATTTTGTACATTTTTATCTTTATTGTATGTAGACGATGTGCGTAAATGGGTTGTTTTTTTAAAAGTTAAGCAGGACTTTTGTCTGCTTTGCAACCCAGGAATGCTTTTTCTCAAGGACTTCTGAGACATTTCTTTGAAATGCTATCATCTAAGAAGATAGTTGTTCTGTTCTCAGGTTTATGTAGAAGCATAGGAACCTAATTTCCAGATAACACCAGACTTGCACCTCGTGTGGTAAAGACATGAAAAAATATTTCCCTTTCGGATATAAACAAACACAAATGGCCACTCCATTTACCAGGTGAACTGTGTTACAAATAGTGTGGTCCATCATTACTCCTGGTCTTGCAAAAGTGGATGGTAAGATTGGTATGAAAGGTAAGATTGTCTTTTTTCAGTGAACTGCTGTGATGCGATCATATTCGGAGTCAGTATTAAGAACTTCATTTGCTTCCTTCTCTTTCATTCTTATGGAGAGTTATTTTGGCCTAGCAGCTTTTGTTTTTCTCTGTAATTCCCAACCGGCGGGGCTAGGCTTTGGGAGAAGTTGGACACCATTGAGAAGCAAGAAGACGCCACTCGCCACTTGCGGCAGGTGCTGAGTGCGCATCTCCTGCCGCAACGCGGATCCCAAGACTGCAGGGACAGCCAGATGTCGCATCCCTATTTTTAGCGGCCGCCTGTAGCGCAGTCACGTGACTACCGGGTGGGCGGACCCGCGAGAGCAGTGTGC